TCCCAGCTCTGCCCCCGGCTGGGCGGGAGGTGCGGGCGCTGCTGCCGGCCCCAACCTGCAGCCAAAGCAGGCTGCCGAGCGCCGCCAAGAGCCCAGTGCAGCCCGCAGCCTCCTGGGGGGCACGTAGCAGCAAGAGCCCCACCCTGCCCCGCCCCCACTGACAGCTCCCCCCACTTCGCCCCTGCTGTAGTTCCAGGGGCGGCCGCCAGGCTGTGCTGCCCCCACCCAGCCCTGCCAGACTTCTTCCAGCCCCTCCCTGCCTCCCTCCCTGCTGCGGGAACATGTTATTATTTTCCCCGACTTAAACTGAGTTTTTTTTCTTTTCTTCCTTTTATCCCAATTTCAACCCGCTTGTTATGTTTAGAATATAAACCCTGAAAAATTCCCACATCAAGGTACAATCCATATCCCTGAAACGGAAGATACCAAAATTAGCCATTTTGAACTGAAAACGTCATAATTTTACAAGGAAGAAGCAAAATTCAACACCTTGCAACATGCAAGCTGACACCCCTGCTCCAGCCTTTTGTTTTAAACTGAACTTGATTCGGATCACTGTCCCCAATTTGGACTGAATCCGAATCGAATAGGGCCGTTATGCACACCTCTAATACACACCCCAATTTTGGAGGGTTGATTCTGTGGGGAGGAAAGGCATGTGTTATGCAAGTATTTACAGTACTGAGATGTTCATAGTAATTTGTTACCTTGGCAAGACTGCCCGGCATATCCTGTAAAGCAGTGGCAGGGGAACCTCCCAAGGCTATTGAAGCAGCTGCCATTATTGGAGCAAGGTGGGGGCTTTTGGCTACATTCATCAATATCTACCCATGGGAAGTTGGCAATGGGAAGAGCATAGACACAAGAGAAGCAGTAAATGTACTATTACACAGAAGTTACAGCAGTCCCACAGTCCCCAAAACTGCCTGAGATCACCCTTCAGCTCAGGAGCACTAAGCACATGTCCCCTAGTGGCAACACCCACACAAGCTAGGGAGCTTGACACAGGGGAACCACAGCATCTGGAAGCCCTGGTCCAAAAGCCATCCCCCCCAAACCCTTTATATTCATTTCACCCTTGTCCTGGCTCAGATCTTCCAGGAAGTGATGGATTTCAATGCGAATTCAGGCAGACTTTTACCTTGACAGCTGAAATTGAACTGT